GTCTACAGGACAGAAATCTGACAGGAAGCATCTGCAGGAGCAGTACTGCTGCACTGAAGACAACACTGTGATGACATGTTCACCAGATGCATTCAGTGTGAACTGGTTGGATCGTATTAAGAGTCTTTTTAATTAGATGCACTCATCCACATCTTATGGTCTTTTCTGTGTCAGTTTCTTAAAAACTGGTCCAGAAACATGAAACCATTTTATTGTTTTTATCTGTGGAGCTCAGATGTAAAAAGAAACCCACACAGGACTCATGTTGAACATATGTTTGAGTTTAATTACAATCACAGATGCTTCCAGTAGTTCAAAGTAGCCTTCAGTCTCTCAGCCAGTTTCACTTCTTTCTTAACTTTTTATATCAATGTCATTTAAAACATAATGACTTAAATTTGTTGCTGGTATGTGACTGAAGCAGAGTCACATGTGATAACATCAACTGCTCTTTCAGGAGCTCACAGGTGGAAGTGAGTTTTAATTAGCAGGCGTGATTAAAACGAATGAACTGTGAAAATGAAGGAAAAATAAAACTTCAATCAATGAGCACTTTATCTGCAGAGGATCGACTCATCTGCTTCTCAGTGACATTTAGAGATTATATACAAAACACAAAGGTAATAAGAAATAGACAAACTGAATGTCCATTATGTCTACATCCTTCACAGATACACTCAGTCATGTTTTTTAAATATATATTTTCATTTTCCTCTTCATCCAACAAAGTTGACCCTGTTGATGTGGTTGCAGCATTTTCAGTGTGACAAACTTTCCCTCCTTGAAGTGACTTCTTCCTCCTTATAAACAGTGCAGCTGCATAGTGATTGAAACCAGCACCACACTGAGCCAGTTTTATAAATGTGAAAAAAGGAAAAGGCCATCCCTAAGATGAGAATCCCATCAGCTTACACTGCTGTGTATAACTCCTGGCCTCTCATCAATAGTCATAACAACTTGTATATTAACGATCAGATGAACAGAATCAACTTTCTGGGATTTGCTTACCTGGATTATTGAGCATGCATCTCTTAGTTGTTTCAAAGGACAAAAACATTGAAAGTTTTAAAGAGTAAAATGAAAATGTTGAATAGAATGAAATTAATAAAACAAAGATGAAAGAGAGGAAGAAAATGGTTTGTGTTCCTGTGTCCTGACTGGTTGTAGCACATAAGTGTAGATGAATGTCTATGATAACAATAAATCAGAAACAGATAAAGAGTGATGTAAATCAGATGATTTGTGGGAAACTCCAAAGACTGCAGGGTTTACTGATGCACTTTAGAGAATAAAGTTTGTTCTACCAGATGACAAGTTTTAACAACCTATAAAATTAGACGTTAAAACTCAGCTACAAACATGTGTGTGTACATACACAGATATATAGACAGATTGATGTTTTTGTTGTTATTTTTATTTTATTACAAAGTTTTCATTTCTGACCAGTGATCCTGAACTCATGCCTGATGGTCCAAATACTACTGTTAGATCAAAGCTGCTGGTATTTTACAGAAATCAGTAATCAGCGGTAAAATGTCGCCCCTGTGGAAGTAGTTTAAGTTAACGACTGAAAAGGACTTGCCTTTAACTTTCTGCTGCATGATCACTTTACTGGGACCACAGCGTCATTCGATCTGCACTGCAGTTAGCTCATCTTTAATAAACCCACCCAATTAAAATCCAGGGGCATGTTCAAATGATTAAATAGTTTTGCTCAGGAACGTTCCTAACTAAGAGAAGTGACCTGGAAGTGTCTGTATGGTAACAGGTACAAATGCTCTAGGTGCTTAGCAAAAGAGCTTGAGTGCTGTCTTTATAACCTCCTTTAACAGCGAATATACTGAACCATCATTTATGAAAGGAGAGGAGAAATATCATCCCAACAGCCATCTTATTATTCAATTAACAAAGCCAATGAAGTTAGCTTTGTTAATTGTACTGACAGTACACTGTCTTAGATGGTATAAAGTTTGTCTGAAGGTTAAATTCAGTGAATGGATCTAAGAGCCATCAGCTAAAAATCATATTAATCTCTGCTTCACTTGCTGTAACCCAAAAGCAGACACAATACACAGAATCTAACAGGTTTATTTGTGGGCAGGAAACAACAGAATATAAGGAACATCATAGGGCAGGATGTGTGAAGTGGAGGAGAGTAGAGTTAGTAATGTAGCGCCAGCTTGTTGTTGGTATTGTGTGATATGAACAGCAGGGTTTGTCTTGTTTATTTCACAAGGGAGAGCACTGGAGGGGAGATCCATGGGAGTCGCGATGGAGGGGAAACTTCCAGAGGCGGGCCGCTGCTCCGAGAGGGAAAGTTCGCCAACACCCACAGACATGACAGTTTCTGAGAGGCTACACGTAAGCTGAACTGCTGAGAGGAAATCAGCTGGTTTACAGGAACTCGTGGTTGTTGTGTAAACACTCTGTCACTGCTGTAAAATCAGCTGATAAGAGGTTTAAAGTCTCCTGTCAGGTGTGTGATGGACAGTTTTAAGATTCTTCTAATTCTCTGTGATGACCTTAATGAATTAAAAAGGTTCATATCATCATATTCTGTCTCTAATTGTTCTAGTTGTTCAACTTAACTTGTGTCCATAAATGACTCTTGTTATTCTTCTTGGTCTAAACCCAGGCAGACTGCTGCTGTGCTCTGTGTTGTTGTCCGATCTGTTTCCAAAGGTAAAGTAAATCCTCACAAAGACAAACTGTTTGTGTGAAAATAGATTTATTTCAGACTTATGTATTAATCTGGTGTCAGTGGTTGATGTAAATTATTATAATTTTAAAATGACTCCCTGTATGTTCACATCTCCCTGAATGCAGTTGTGACTGTGAGGTAGACTCCTGCTTACAGAGCTGACACGAGGAAGAGATTGAATTCTGTGTCTTATCTTTTATGAAGAAGTGGAAACATGTACCATGATTTCAAGACCCCAAAGAGCTAAACTAGCAAAAACCTAGAAAATGAACAACCTCTACTGTGTTTGTATCTCTGCCTTCACAGGTTGGTATGAATGAGCCTCACAGAGCTGCTGCTGGAACCTTAATTTGTTTACTTTCATAGAGTGAGAATGGCTGTTAAAAACAAAAACTACTGATAATATAAATAATCCACATGACGCAGTGAATTTTACTTTAAGATTTTTTTTCTTTCGTTTCCTTTGTGTAAATAACGGGGATTACCCTGGTGTCTGTGCTTTCACTTTCGTGTTTTTATTTGCCTGTGATCTTGATTCAGGCTACATAAAGATCGCTGAACACCTCACATGATCAGACTCCTTCACACACTCACTTGTGCTCTCCAAAGCAGGTAAGGAAACAGTCTGATTCAGACTGAAAGTTTAACGTCTTCATGTGCGGTGATTGTTGTTGCTGCTTTCATTGGTGATCTATGTGATCCACTCTGTACATGCTTTATATCATAGTTGGATTATTGATCAGCAGACGTTATGAAGGCTTCAGTTTAACAAGCTGGTGACATCAAATTGTTCACAGAGGTTTTCTGTCATTCAACTAAACTCAAAAATCAGGTGGACAAAATAATAGAAACAGTGTAAATCTGAGTGGGCGTGTCTTTGTTCACTTTGAAGGTCTTTAAAACAGAATAATATCACTGTGCTACAGCTACACTTGACTTTGGTTCTTCTTCAGGTCGCAGGAGGAGGAGCTGCTTTGTGTTCCTGAGCTGATCATCGACTGAATATGGACAAAGACGAACTCGAACTCATCATGGCTCTGAGAGCCATGGCTTTTTTAGAGGCGATGGAAATGCAAGCGGAAATTCTGTGAGTCTCTCACGAACAAATTTATTTAGAAGATAATAAAGATTTTCATATTTCAGTCACTGTACAATGAAGAAAACTATTTAAATTAATTGTGTCTAAATCCACTTTTTGAATGGGGCTTTTTGAACATTATGGGGTGGTGGAGATTTGAAGCTGTGACAGAAATCAAATGAACATGAATCCAGTTTTAAAAGAAAAAGTAGAAAGAGAGCTGAGTGATAAACCTGAGGTCATACCTGCCTCCATTTTATTTTTTACATGAAATCCTTCCTCACAGAGTTTGTTATAATTATAGCAAATCTTCTGTTAATAGGATGTAGAGTTAAGATGAACCTGCAGGTATTTTATCTGTGGTTCACTGCAGAAGTTGTAGTGATTAGAAGTGAAACTCAGCTAAAGTCAAACTCTATAGTGACAGGCTGGACATGCTGTCTGTCACAGGGTGGCAGAAAACTTTTATGATTAAAAATATCACAACAGATCTGCATATGTGTGCTCATATATGACCTCACTCTCTTTAGTATCACAGTGATCCAGTCAAAGCTTTCTGCACTTGCTAAAAAAATATTTATTTTTATTTTGGTTGTTTTATAAAAGGAAAAGGCTGGCTGCTGCATGTCGCCCTGAAAGTCCCAGGAGCTCTGCTGAAAGGAAAAGATTAATAAAACTTGCAATAGAGAACTGCAAAGACGAAACTGTCCTGCAGTGGCTGAGAGAAAATTCAGAGTCTGGCACCTTCAGAAAACTCTCAGACATGTTTGATTTTCTGAAAAG